TTAAAGTGGCCACGTTTGGACAACACTGCAGTAGTTGCGAGTCAACACTGCGAGTTGAAGTCCACTCATCTTAAAGTGGCCACGTTTGGACAACACTGCAGTAGTTGCGAGTCAACACTGCGAGTTGAAGTCCACTCATCTTAAAGTGGTCAAGTTTGGACAACACTGCAGTAGTGGGATGCAATGTTTTGGGTTATCTAGGAGAAGCCAAACTCTTTGAAAGTGGAAAGAAGAACAATATTCTTTCTCACTATGGCTTAGACAAAAATTGTTAATATTTGGGCGGATACTTTTTTAGAACACCACCTGGGTTAAGCCCTTCTGATGACTATGATTAAAGGACAAAAAGGAGACAGAGAGACACTTAAAGCAATTCGCTTTTCTCTCTAGCTTGAAAATCAGCCTTGCTCGGCACTGCTTACAGGTGTGAAAATTAAGAAGGGAAGGAATCTGGAGCTTAACAGGACACACACATCACCTTGGCTACAAAATTGGGACAGTGGAAGGGGTGTGTGTGTCATTATAAAGGTTCCCACGTGCAACCCTTTGGCTTTCTAATTGTGTCTTTGGTCAGCTGACTGACATGATGAGTGTTAAATTTCACCACAGTGCTAGGATTTTGCATTCTATATAACACAGCTTTACATGGGATTCTCCATGAATGTTGGATGCCAGCTGGGGATGAAGAAGGCAGAGTCAGGGAAACTGCTCTATCCAGCTCTCTAGCAATTTGGGATCAGAAAATACATTCTATGCAAGGGTGGGCTGTAAAAGTCAGGAACCATAGGCCGGTCACAATCTGTTTTATTAATTAATATTTTTTTCAGAGAAAATATTACTATACTTAGGAATATTCAAAGATCACACATCAAACATGTAACTACACAGGTGCAGACACAGATAGAGGAATGCCATACTGAAATGTGAAATGCCAAAGTGAATGAATGTGTGTGTGTGTGTGTGTGTTTTAGCATGCCCCTAAATACTAATAACTTTGGCACTTTATCTCTAGAGGAGAGTTTTCTGTAGATAGGTACCACTTCTTGATTGATGATAAATGAGCATCCACAGGAAGTGGCATAACAGGAGGGCCTCTGATGATGATCTAGTGATCGGGCAGATTTATATGAAAGGGGGCGAAGCTCCACACAAACTATGGAAATATTCCAATATTCTAAAACAAAGAAACAAATCGCAAGGCATCATACCAGAGCTAAATAACAGATGCAAAAAGTGATAACTTCAGAATCAGCCAGGCCTAACAAAAGTAAGCTTTTAGGTGGCTAGAATCCACATTCCATATTGCAACTGGTTGTAGTATCTGTATATTTAACAATACTTCTCAAAGGACAACATCTATGCAACAATTAGGCTCACAGGATCCAGGTGGGGGGCTTTGCTGTTTGGAGGGCCTTGACAGCACGTGGCATCCCCGTGCTTTGAGCTGCAGGTCCAGAGGGAGTTTTGCAGTGAAAACTCTGGTCTGCACAGCCCTTCTTGGAAAAAAGTATCGAAGTGCACAGCTAATAAACACATTGTATTTGATGCCATGTTCACTATAAAAATGCTGTAACATCTGTAATGGAAAGACCAGGAAGCAGTAGGATTTTATTATTTGTCTTCATATTTTAAATGCAGGCAATAGATGCCATTTTTTTTAAAAGGCTACTGTATGCATTTTATTTATTTATTTATTTATTTATTTATTTATTTATTTATTTATTTATTTATTTATTTATTTATAGCAAAGACGTGTTTTCAGAAAAGATAATATCCATAAGCGGACAAAGAAAATTAGTGAAGTTATACAATTAATGCTCCAATATAACATTAATAAAATAGTAAACCATACCCCCCCCCAAAAAGCATCTATTATATGCATATTCATTAGCTTTGTTCAGACTGAAATGCCGTAGAAAAGCAAATAACATTTAAACAGTTTTCTCTGGTTTTGTTTGGTTCCAGGTTATGGTCATATTTATCCTGTGACAAGACTTGGGAAATACTTGTGCATGTTGTATGCATTGTTTGGCATACCTCTCATGTTCCTAGTCCTTACTGACATGGGCGACATCCTATCAGCTATTTTATCCACCTCTTACAATCGAGCCCGGAAACTGCAATCCAAAGTGTTAGCCAGGCTTTCTTTTGGGTCTTGTTGTAAGAAAAACCCTGATTCCAAAGGAGGCTCAGCTTCCCTTGGGCCAACCAAAATAGTTCTTCTTGAACCTTTAAATATTAGGGATGCTTTGAAAAATAATTCTTCCTTTAAGAAAAAGCCTGGACAGTATCAAAACATTGAGATTTTTGAAAGGCTTATTGTCAGAGAAAATGCATTTCTTACACCGCCAAACCTGACCAGATTTGAACGATGGAATTCGTGTCCTGAATTAGACAAAGGAGCAATGGTGAATCACATGATTAGCAACATCAATAACATAGGGAAGGAAGTAGAGAAGTTGGATGTGCCCTTTTCACTGATGACTTTGATTGTTTTTGCATACATCTCCTGTGCTGCGGCTGTTCTTCCCCATTGGGAAAGAGCCTTAAATTTTGAGGAAGCTTTCTATTTTTGTTTTATCACCTTAACCACCATTGGCTTTGGTGATGTCAAACTGCAGCACCCCAACTTTTTTTTGTTTCTCTCAGTTTATATTGTGGTTGGCATGGAAATTGTCATAATTGCTTTCAAGCTGGGACAAGACAGGATCCTTGGTCTGTACAAGAAGCTGCTTTTCTGCATCAGTCGAAAAAAAGTTTCAGACAAAACAGCATGAAGAACACCCATCGAACCCGAAGAAGGCATGCAAGATCACTGCTCGAATCAGATCCATAGACAGTGCATTCAAAGGGAATGGATCCTTCCATTTTTCCAATGGAAAATCATCAAGGGATGGGACAGATTTTTTCATTGTCACTGGGAATCTGCTGTAAACTAATTGAATTACTACACAGAGCAGCTAAATGTTCTTGGTTTGAAAATAAATTTTCCCTTTTAAGAAATGAAATTGATAGAATAACAACGTGAACCTGGATATACCTACTCAACAGTAAGACCCACTGAGTTCCACAAGGTTTGCTGGAAAGTAAGTCCTATTGAATTCAACAGGATTTGTTCTGAGCAGGCTTACATGGGATTCTCTGGAGGGTATTATCTGGAATGCTAGCTCCCAGTATAATGTTTTAGATCTGACACTTATGTTTGTGTGGACAAGTGGATTATAGCTTTATCTCAAGTGGCAGTTACAGAAGAAGCCAGAACAACTGAGCCAAAGCTGCTGAGTGCTTATTTAAACTCTTTATATACTGCCCTGTACCAGTACTGATGTTAGGACATGCCACCTGCTGAAAATGTCACAATTGTAAAACTGAATCCAGACCAAGAGATGATTGTCAAGATCTGAATGCATGATCGTTATATTAGTGTATTAGAAATAAATGTATATGAATTTGAATAATATTTGTATTAGGCAAGTATATATAGAATTGTAGCGGTTTGTTGTTATAATGATATCATATATTGTGGGGAGGGGGTTTCCTCTTTTTTCTGTTGTAATTTTTTTTCTCACCTCTTTTTTTTAAAGCACTGGTATGTAGGGTTTTTTTCTTTTTCTTTGACAATGGATGTATTTCTCTCATAACTATTTTGGTGTTTTGTTCCTTTCCTTTCCCTTTTTCTGTTAAACTTTTAAAAGCAATAAAAAATAAATAACTCTGCTTCCATCGAGTGGTCTTGGGAAGTTAAAGTCCTGGAAGTCCTAACTAAAAAGTGTGGAATGTTCCTCTCCAATATCATTGCTCATATATGTTGAGCATGACTGAGCTTTCGCCTTTGATTGGCATGGATTTTCGGGAGAAGCCCTGTGCAGTAATCTGGTAAGAAGTCAATGATCAAGTAGGGTCAGGACCATCAGTAATTGATGACATCAGCATTCTAAGCAGTTCACAATGAAAATAACGACAACCACCATTTTAAAACTACTTCTTGGGATGGGAAAAGGTTGTTTGTTTTTTTAAATATAGCCATTCTCTATGAATTGGACAGATGCTACTAGAAATGGGAAATTAATGTTGAGAAAACCTGAACAGAGCACCTGTTTCTATGATCAACAGTGCATCTGAACTCATCTCTTAGAAGGGTCTCCTTCATAGTCTTAAGTTATTTTATTGATGGAGATGCAGCTTCTCTCTATCAAAGATTGTAGTCATACGTTAATAATCATTCTAAGAAATTAATATGAGGTGGCATCTTAGGTGTAATTTTAGAGACATACAGTTGGTCATGCATTGCATGAATCTACAAATACATTTAAAACAGGTATTCTGCCAATACTTTGTTTGGCCTTTTGCTGTTACTTCATCCATTTATAGCATATCTTCTGACAAGGATGGTATAAAGACAGCTCTTCAAGGCTTTCCTGGGCACCTAGATATTACCTTGCCAGGCAATCATTTATGAACGTACAGAGGGACTATGCAGGGCTAGCTCTACTCCTTTTATCACTCCCTCCCCCCACTTCACAGCAATGCTCCCAAGCCAATTTTCCTGGACTGTTTGTACTCTGAACAAGTCAGTGATCATTTCCTTCTTCCAGCAGGTGGTAGGTCTAGATACTGATCAAGCATGGACTATCAGAACCTGGAAAGCCCACTACAAACTGGGTTAACCATCAAAAAGAGTTGTTCCACTAGTCAGCTGGGATCTTAAGAAGTCTAGCAATGTTAAGTGTTTGCTGCTGAGTCAAACTTTAAAGAACCCAAAGCCCTTTCTGAAGCCTTAGACTCCAGTGAAAAACTGGAGTGAAAAACTGAAGAAACTAGGAAAGGATCATCTTTTGAATCACAACCATAAGATAAAGGGACTGCTGTTTGGGGGGTGACACATCCCTACTAAATAAGAGATCACTTAACTTTAGTAGACATCTTAAGCCCCCAATCAGCTGGGCACCTACATATTACAGTTATGCATAAGTGAATAGGGGTTTTACTACATGGGGATGGAAAACTAGATTTGAGGTTCAAGCAATGTGATGATTGGGGGACTCATCTTGGGCTTATCAGGCCTCCTGCTCCTCTTAATTCTTTTCTTTAAACAATATTTATGAAAAACCAACCTCTAGCACCATCTTTCTTTCCAAGGCTGGACCCTATGTGGTGCCAATGGCATTTTAGAAAAATGCTATTTGAGAAAATAAGAAGCATTTGAGCATTTTGTTCTGACCCATGTACAATCATCTGGGAGAGGAAAAGGTTAATTGGAGAGTAGTGGTGGTAGGGAGAAGGTTGTAAGAAGGCGGAGAATGAAGGTGTACTTCTTGTGTAGTTAAAGCCTATTATGTTGTAAAAGACAGTGAAGTTGCCCTGCCCTCCAGACTAAAGTTAACTGCTTGTTGACTCGGGAGCATTGCTGGTACTGCAGGGCCATCATCAGAGGAGGGTGAGCTAGTCCTGCATATTCTTGTAGCCCCCTACCCTGTTCGTGAACAAATGTCAAAAAAAGACTTAAATCAAAGAGAATCCCTGGGCACCTGGGACACAGAAGGGATTATAATTAGTAACAAATGCATATCTTGCAAAGAATGTATATGTTTGGATTCGTATGGAATTGCCTGTTTCCCCTTACCTTGCAAGCAAATATGAATGTTACATAAAAATTAAGTTCGATTCAGATTTGCAGAGTTGATCACTGCAGAAGCACGTATGTGATAGGATACTGCATCATCGAAATATTCCTGATAGGGTTACTACTCCAGTAATTTTTAAATCATGCCTGAACGTGACATTTGATATACATGCATAAAGTCACGTTTTACTAAAGAAACTGCATATTGGTACAGATTCTTTTTCCCACTATAGTCAATAAGAAAATAAAATAAAAAGTCATTTAAGTTACAGGTTACTTTATAAGCTGTTTACAGCTTTTGTCCATAGTTTGAAGAAACTGTGTACGAATACATACATGCCATTTGGAACATACAGTATGCTAATGATTAATCTGGAGCAGCTAGAGAAGATGGAAATTGTATGGAGGATACAGAGAGGGCAAGTCTACAGTATCCATGTATTACCTTTAATTATTTTGTCTTTGGATTGGAAATCATTACGGATGAATATGAATATGGATAAAGACATAGGAAGAGTGCGTTTTGTCTTAAAACAATAAAAATGGCAGAAACTTTGCTATTTACTTTTCTGCATGTTGTACATGGGCATGCAGTAGCTCCCTTAATCATGATTAATTGTTAGGAATCAACTGATAACGGCTTATATGTTAGTCCAGATTCTAAATGATACTAATAAAGAACATGTGTGTAATACATCACTTGTATTGAATCTTTAGTCTCACCAGCAGTTTTTATTCTTGTTTCTTTAGGGCTATCATATTTTGGCTACGGGAATGTAAATGCTCATTAGACAGCAGCACAAAGGGTCAGTTGTGGACCTCCAGATTTTTGCATCTGACTATCCTAACAGGCGACCCAGCCTTTGCTTCTAGGACATCTAACAATTTGGGTGATAGGATGGCCCATTCTCTGGAAATGCCTTAGAAAATGAAAAGGGTGGGTGGCTTCAGTCTGACATTTGGAAGTGTGCTGTCCTGGTCAGAAGAGAGACAGAAAGAGGGAGAGAGAAGTTGTAGAGAGCAGCAATGGAGAATGACCTCACTAACTTGTTTCCCAGGGCATGGGTGTTTTGTGGCTGGCAACATCCACCATGATCACTTGTAAACAGGCAAGCCCCACATCTAGAGAGCCATTTTAATTCTAATAATGAGAGTGTGGCACGTGTCTGCATTAAAAATATAAAGCAACGATACTATATTACTTGATATGTAGCTACAGAACCATACCTGCAAGTACAATAGAGCCACAAAGCAGTGTTGCTCTTACAAAAGATAGCATAGTGTAGATTTTATCCTTGCATTCCAAATATTTTATTAAAGATATCTGAGAAATAAATATTTGAAAAAAAACTGCTCTCTTTGTTTTAGGGCTGCATTAATAGTAAGCAGTAGACCATTATTATACCTTCCTCATGCAGACCCATAATAAGTTATTTCCTGGAGGCTCTCTGAGCTGAAATACTTACACAAAAGAGAGAACTGGAAACTATTCTGGATAAATTCCAGTCATGTTTGTTGTAATGCATCGGCACAGGTGGCAAGACAAATGAGTCTGCAAGTTTAGCAGACTACCAGACACCACTTAGCAGAACTTTGTGTCTTGGGTGGAATTCTTTTTCAAATGAACGGAACTACAGAGTTTGTATTAATTAGGGTTATCAGGTCTGGGCTGCAAAAACCTGGATGACCATTAGATTCACTAAAGAATTAGAGTTTTCTGTATTTCTCTGCTACCCATTAATGGTGATCTGGAGGTTCACAGCCCAGATCTGGTAGCCCCAATGAACATACACTTAGACCTCTCTCACATGTTTGTTGAGAAATATGCTTACTATTGCACTGCACACAAAATAAGCCTTTAAAGCTGAGAATGCAACAGTCCTAGTTTAGTAGATCGTGATATTTTTAAGACTGTGAGATACCTATGAAGATAAATAGAGGATAAATTTGAGCACCCATCCTACCTTGCACTTTCTTCGCACCGCATTCTATGTCAGTGCAACTTTTTCTCTCAGTAGTTTTTATCCACTGAAGTTAGCGGCCCAGTAAATGGTAGCATGGAAAGAATCTCAAAATACAAAATAAACATTTGGAATGATCAGTTTCACTTCCTTGAAGATAAAGTATTTATCCACCTAATTACTTTGAATAAGG